TAGATCTGCCTATTCTGCTCCCCACTCTGTCCCTGGTGAATCCTCTCACCCTCTGCACCTCTGGCCTACACCCCAGCTCTTATATGCATAAATAAATAAAATAAATCTTTAAAAATATATACATCCTCTTATTGGTAGTGGGAAGTCCACGGGGTTTACCACTGAGATGAAAAAAAAATGTACAAAATGAAGCATAATGTAAAATACATATATGTAAAATGAAAAAAAAATAAGAATAATAAAAATATATACATCCACTTATTGTATATACTGTATATATCTAAAGAAGTTTTGTTAAAGCTTACATTTTCAACTATGTAGTTTGTATGCACAATCTAAACTCATGAGGAAAATGTCACAGTACTCCTTATCAAGGAGTAGACAGCAGAATCCTCTGGCAAATGGAGGATACCACCTCAAAGCTTTCTCTCCTACTAAAGGAGAAAATGGTGATGTTAATAATTTGGTTTTCAACATCCTATGTTTTAAGGATTGTTATTATCGCCTGCCTATCTTTCCTTTGATGAAGTCAGAACTTGGCAACACTTTTCTATGCATGGTCACAAAGCTCTAGATTTTGAAGGCCAGAGAGATGATATCTGGAAACTACTCAGTCCAGACAGTGGAGCAAGAAAGCAGCCACAAACAGTCTCTGAAAAATAAGTGTGGCGTTCCAATAAAACTTTATTTATAAAAACGGACAGGGGCCTTATTTGTCAACCCCTGCCCTAAGCTGCCTTCTCTGCAGAAGGGATATCTCTTTAGTCATATTTTTCTTCAACTTTATGGGTGAAGAATCCTGTGACTTACATGTAGTTCAAAGATATTATGTGTTTAATCATCCTTGTCTTCATTAGTTTTAATACATTTAATATTGAAAATTTTGTTCTCTGTGGTATGTTACCATGTACATATAAATAGAGAAAAAGCCACAGCCTTTCTTTGATGGCACAGAAAGAATAATATTTGGCTCTTGTTCCAGAACATTACTCACAGTTCCTTTAGGGTATTTACAGAGTTTCATGTTGAAGTCTTAAATGATTTTTCACATATTGAGATCCCAGTTAAAGCTTTTAAGTGAACAGAGTTATAGCTTCAGGAATTTCTAACTCACAGTGCAATTCATGCAAATGCATTACATACAACATTTATTAAAATTATTTTTGTGAAATCTTTTCAAGTCTGAGAGGTACAAATTTGGATGTGATCACAATTCTAATAATGCTAATAATTCCTAAGGTAATTGAAGGAAATGTACCCATTTATCATAGAAAATAAGGTTAGGTCACAGGAATGCTAAATAGGGCTGTCTTCAATATTAAATTCAGATGTCATTTGGAAAGAAAGAAAAGGAGAGAAACCAATAGACTAGATAGTTGAATTATCTGACATACAAGAGACTAATACAAGATTAGTGCTTTTCCTCCCAGCGCCTACAGCAACCTTTCTTTAGAGAATGTTTGAACGGTCCCCTATTAGATAGGTAAATGTAGGGGCTTCAATTCCTCAGTGATTTGGGAGTTTGTTGGTTGTATGTTTCATACTGAACTGTTCACGCTTACCTTGAAAACTAAAATTCTGAATGGTGTAAAACATACAAGGGGCTTCCTTATATTTGTATTCATTAACAATGGCAATCAATTGGATAAGATAGGTGATTCAGGTAGGAACATATAGCCAGAAGAGAGAAAATGTGTACCTAAAAATAAAGATCCTAAGACCTTTTCTCTACTCTTCTAGGCTATGGTAAAATTTGTAAAATTAATAGGTCACAAAACCATGAATAACACTGAGTAGGAATGAGTCTAGTTAGCATTTTTAAAAGTATACAGGACACTGCTTTTTTCCCCTCCCAAATAGTAGAGCACATTAAAATGAATCTATTTTACTTATTCTTCTTAAGAAATTAAAAAAAAATCATAATTAGGCTAATCATAATTAGGGTAATGCTTAGTTAAAATAACATTGTTTTGCATCATTTTTTTTATTTTTAAAGGTTTAATGATATTTAATGTTATAATTATAGAAACACTGGCTAAAAATTTTTAAAAGTTCATAAACTGATCTTAATTTTTCTGCTTATTTCCTTTCTTATTCCTCTATGTTTATACAGTTGCAACTATGATGTATGTAATTTTTGATTATTGTATGGTTTCCTAAATGTTTTAATTTTAAAACTGATAATCCTTGTCAGAAATTTGAAGCTAAAAGACATAAAATACACAAAATACTATTTCTCCAGTATTACTTCCCCTATCCTTCCAGAAATATTTTATAAATATATGCTTACATATTTTTCCTCTCTTTTCACCCAAGTACTTTATACACAATAATACTTCTTTTTTATTGTTGTTGTTTTCCACTTATTATAAATCACAACATATCAGTTCATAAAAGACCTTCTTGTTCTTTTTCTAAAGGTTACACAGTGTTCTATACTATGAAGTCATCTGAAAAATTTGAACCAGTCTCCTTTTGTGAACATTTAGGTGGTTTCTGATCTTTTGCTTTACAAACAATCCCATAAATATGCAGGGTAAACCAAGAGAATAGAATTACTGGGTCAAAGGTCAAATAGAAGCATCTGACATTGTGATAGCTATTTCCATGTTGTGCTCCAGAAGGTTGAGTGATTCTCCCTACCAGCTGTGGAGCAGCTAATCTCATTAGTATGCGTTATACATTTCAAAACTCATTTGCCTTTCCTATCTGTTCACGTAGGACAATGACTTAGAAAAATCTGAAAGTTCATAAGAGAATTTGGAAAAGTTGTCTGTTCTCTATGTATGTCAGTGACAAAAACATCTTTTGATATTATACTTTTATTACAAACCGGATATGCTGTTTATAGAAAGTTGTGTTTTCTGTATTTTATCTGGGGATGAGATACTTAGATTGTCACCAACATCTTAGGCAGCCTGGCCAGGCGCCCAGTGAGTTTTTGTTAGAAGAATGTTACATTCATTAATGGACCATACTTTACAGCTTTATTTTAGTATCAAAAATGGAATGCTCCAAAAATTAGGTTGCAAATTTTGGTGTACAAACCTATTGTACATGCAGCTTCACTTTTTAACTTGTCACACAAACTTAACCTTTTAACTTCACACACTGTGGATGGTAAACTGCCCTCCTCATCTTAAACAGGAGAAAATGAAATTCACTGAGGCCAAGAAATACGCACATGGTCATATGAATCAGTTAGTGGTCGAGCTGGAATTAGAAGAAAAATTTCCTACTCAAAAATTTCCCCATGTCTTCTTCTAGCTATAGTTTTGCTTTGCATCAGCTTAGAAAAATTCTTGATTTGCTCCCTTGACAGTTCTTTTATTATAGCTGAGAAAATGGAGACCTGTTGGATCATGTTATAGGAACTTACACTGATTGATGAAGGGCCAGTCTACATAATTTTGGTTGACTTTTGAAATGCTAAAGCATTGGTTTTATCATGTGTAGTAGCACTCATGTCTCTCAAACACATTTGCTTGTTTTATAGCTGTGTAATACTATATACACACAAACATATAGTAACAGAGAGACATTCACTGACTCCCAAGTGGGAGTTTCCCATTTAAATTTAGTGCATTTACCCCCTTCCTTATCCTATACCTCCTTACTTGTTGAAGTAGACTAGAGCAGGTTTATACGCCAAAATTTGTAACCTAATTTCTGGAACATTCCATTTTTGACACCAAAATATAGCTGTGTGTATCTGTAGTAGGCATTAGGCAATAGTTTGCCCTGGCTTTACTTTTGCTTTTATTTATCACCCTCAAATTACATTTGCCTTTACAGAGATATTAAGTGAGTTCTTTTTAACTGTGTCTAATGAGGACGCCATTAGTTCCCCAACATCAGTTCAAAGCATTACAGAACAATGCCCATGACTTGAACAAAAATGCCTCTGTAGCCTGTGGTTACACTATTTCTCACAGCATTTTGTTTATTGCCTTCTTTGCATCTTCTTGGCATATCCTAGCCCTTTTTTGTTTTTGTTTTTACTACATTCTATTAACTGCGTACTCTGTGTATATTCCTATTAGAGCATTTATTGTATAGTGCTTTACAGTCCTCCGAGACCTATAATCTGTCCTCATTATTTTTCCTCATTCTTTTATCTTTCCAAATTATAAATTGCTTTAGAGGCTTGTGCCCTACTTAATTATTTACACTTTGCCCTGGTACTTTCCAAAAGTCGTTTGACTCTTACAGCTCTAAATATGGATATTTCTAGATCCAGATTTTTTTAAAAAGATTTATTATTTATTCATACAGAACTGGGGTATAGGCCAGATATGCGGAGGGTGAGAGGCTTCACCAGAGACAGAGTGGGGAACAGAACAGGCGGATGGACAAAGTACACTGCTGAGGGGAGCAGTGGGCGCGTCAGTAGAGGTCTGCCACGCCATGTAGTCACCTCCGGGGCAGGCGGGAATAGAACTCATGCAGAAGTGGCTTAGGCTTCTTAGTGCTGTGCTTTAACCTGCTGTGCCACCAGGGAAGGCTGATCCAGATTGTATTGCCTCTTTTTCTAATCAGGATCTCTGACAAACTCAAATTTGTGAGATACTCTATGGACTTCTTTGGCAAATACTTCCCTACTATCCCCCTACATACTTTTTCTGGATATTATTTAAGATTGTCTCAGTTGTTTAGAGCAGAAAACCCAAATTACAGAAGCCTAAACAAAAAAAGGAGCTTTGTTTTCCTCCTTATGTAAAGTTCAGAACTGGTATAGCGTCTGCATAATCATTACAGACACCTTCTGTCTGCTCACTGTACCTGGTGGAGTGGTTTAACTTTCTTATTGATTGATAAAATAGCTGCTGCAACACCAGCCATCACATTCATGTTCCAGGAAGCATCAAGGAGAAATAGAAAGGAAAGAAGGGACACTTTTCAGCTGACATCACCCCCTTTAAAGCACTTCTTCCCTAGAAGTGCCATCCTATGACTTCCTGTTAAGTCTCATAATAGCTAGGCTCAATGCTTCCCTAAAGAACAAAGGATAACACTGAAGAAGAGGAGAAGGGATACTGGGTAAGCAGCTGACAGGGCTTTCTGCCCTTTTACCTACCACCTCTATTACTTGGACTGCAAGCCTGAGGCAAAACTTCCATTTGCAGCTGGAAAGCTCCCCAGCTTACACTTGGAGGAATGAAGCACATACTTCTCTAGAACTTTCTAACCTATATGGCATTCCCATGGTTCACAGCATGAAGTGTCTTCTTCAGGGACCTGCCCCAATAACTCATGCTATTATTAGCGCCTTTTCCAGGACTGCTCTCCTTTCCCAGAGAAGAGTTATTTTGAACTCCCTTTGTAGAAAAAATCAGCTATTTACATTATTACATGTTCTTCCAAAGTTGTTACTTATGCAATAAACTCCTTGCCTTTATTCCTCCACATCTTGAATTTTGTGGCTCAAATTTGAGATTTTAGAATTCAAACATCTCTCTCTCTGAAATCCAGGTCTCATAGTTCTGGTTTTTACTTGACTATCTCTGCAGTAAACTTTAAAAATCTTTCTGGGGAGCAGTACTTCAGTAAAACTCTTCATTTTAACTATTCCCAATAAGGTCTTGTGAGACAGGACAAGCAGTTGTCCTATAGCAACTAACTATAGGAACCTCAGGTAAGATTTGAAATACCATCTACTGAGTAAGTAACCAAGTATAAGCCAGGAAGGTAATGAAATTAAAGGGGTTAGCTCTTCAGAGTGCAAAGAAGTTAGATTAGGGCCCACCAGGGAAAATGTCTCCAGACAGGGACCACTGAGTTCATCCTTGAGCAACTCTGATGCCAGAAAACAGCTGGAATAACATCGCACACTGAGGAAACCACAAAGGGGCCTGTTTGGTTAAACTGAACAAAAACTAAAACCACGTTGCCTGACACTGCTGTCAGCCAATAAATATTTATTGGGTATGGACGACTTTGTCCTATATGCGAGCGACGCCTGTGGCCTCAAAGCTGAAAAGACCTTTGGCTTTTAGGAGTTAGGGTTTTGTTTTTTTTTAGGGGAAACAGATAAACAAGTCAATAACAATTTATAGCATAATTTGATCAGGGCTATCATTGTGGTATGCAGTATCATAGCGAACGGTCACTGAATTCATTGAACTGGTACTTATAGAAATCAGTACCTCCTCACCCCCCTACGATAGTTCCTGTCACTGGGGACGCAGAAGGAACTGGAAAGCAGATGTTGGCCTTGAGCTCCCTGAACTTGTGGTGCAACAATGGATGAGGCCCTTGGACAGCCTGGTGCGTGGCCTGCTCTATACTCCGGTGTCTATCTTGTTGAGAGATGGGTGCTGGACACAAGGACCCTTTACTCTTGCTATATTTAAACATGTAATAGTCGCTCTATTTCAAAAGGATTTTAACAGGTTCCTTGAGAAAATAAAAATGAACATGACCCATGACCCTGTTTTCAGATGGACTCTTTTTGCCACAACACCAAGAACTCAAATGCGAAGGTGAGGAAAAGACAGCCAGAGGCTGTCCTGGTGAGGACAATTTGAAAGCCCATTTTGGGGATCTTCTATTGTATTAATATTTGAAATGTGTCTTTCTTCTCTATTAAAACCAAAGCATCTGAATATTGTCCAGAATTGTATCTCATACTTGCCATTTTTTCATAGTACTTAGTCGTAAGACACACCTTTGTTGAAGACATTAGTATTTCCCAAACCAAGCGTAAAACCTACAACATGAACTACCACTGGTTCACTTGATGAAGGGATTTATAATCCTGTTTGGAGAGACATGTCAGATAGCCTTGAACACTTAATGAAAAATACCAGGGAGGGTAACACTGAGGGTAGGCTGGGTAAACAGGTTTCTTTGTCAAGAGGACCTCCATTCCATGTTCTAGAAAGCTCTGTATTGGTCTGATTGGAGCGGCCCCATCAATGTTAACTGGCACATTCAACTGTCTTGCAGGTACTTCATTCCTTCACTGATGCCATTTTTGATGAGTGGATGAAAAGATTTAACCCATCTGTGGAGGCCTGGCCACAGGAACTGGCGCCCATCGGTCACAATCGGCTGTATAACATGGTTCCCTTCTTCCCTCCGGTGACCAATGAGGAATTCTTTTTAACCGCAGACCAACTTGGCTACAGCTATGCCATTGATTTGCCAGGTAACTAATGCAACTTCTAAGTGGATGATTCATTCATCTTCTAAAGCAGCTTTTATTCTTTTCTGTTTTTTACAAGGTAAACCAAGGCCTTAAATCGAAGTTTCCAGGTCTCAGGAATCTTATTTTCAATTTTATACAACATATAGATATAGCAAGATGAGCCTGTGTGCTGCCAACTAGACATCAGGGAAGACACTGGTGGATGACTGACTGTTTTAGAAACTGAATGTTCCACAAAGCAGCTTTTTGTGCTACACTTGCTTTAACCATTCTATGGGAATTAATCAACACTGGCTGTGGCTTGAAACATCTGTGCCAACAATGTCAAAATGTACTGGCCAGGGGCCTCCCTGGTGGTGCAAGGGGTTAAGTCTCAGCACTCTTAACGGCTGCTCTTGAGCCAGTGTGGCACGAGTTCAATCCCTGCCCAGGGAGGTGACCCACATGGTGAAACAGACCTCTCCTGTCCTGACCACCACTCCCCTCAGCAGTGTATTTCATTAGATCTTCTTGTTCTGCTCCCCACTCTGTCTCTAGTGAATCTTTACACCTCCCACACCTCTGGCCTGTACCCAGCTCTTTTATGCATAAATAAAACAAACCTTTAAAAAAGAGATGCACTGGCCACCGGGGGGGCAGACCGGGCAGGACCCAGTGATCAGTGCTGGATGTCAAGGCTGACTTTAGGGTGAGGCAAGCATGATACTTGCTTTGAGCACCAAGTTCAAGGGGAGGTCAAAAGTTTCAGGAATCGAGATAAGTAATAAAATAATGCAATGCAAAAAAAGGTTAATGCAAAAAAATCTATGAGGATTATCAAACTTAAATCACGGCAAGCTGTTCTTGTTTGTTTGTTCTACACACTGCATTATCTTGTAACTACACCCATTTTTTCCCAATTAGCCAGCTCACCTCTGCCAGGTGGGTTTATGAGGTTAACACTGGCCTGCCAACATGTTGGGCTAAACCAGGGCTTCCTGTGCATGTTTTGTTAATTAATGTTTTTTCAGTCATGCAGATTGCATTTTTTTAAATGAGCATGTCCACTTGTTTTAAAATATGGGAGACTATTTTAAAAGTGTATATAAAGGCATACATTTTTAATTTGCCCATATCTTAAACATAGTTTATAAAGAATTTTAGGACAGCTTGAGAAGAGGATATTTTTTAAAAGCTGAAAAATACACATCTGTAATACTTGTGGGTGGCTTCCTTCATTTGTTTTTCATAATTACCAGCTCAATACAGAATCAAAATGATTTCTGAGCTTGCATCTCTGTCTGACTTCAGAGTCTTTCAGGCCTGGAATTTGTACCCAGTTTACCTTCTTGTTCCATAACTACTATAGCTATTTCCTCTCTCTGGCAGCTGATGCTCTTTGACACTCTTCTCCTACCTCTGGGGCCGAACATAACAGTTATCAGAAATCCTGGTATGTGCATCCATCTTTTCTGGCATTAGTCTGTTAACAGGTAGGCTGAGGAACTACATATGCCCAAAATGTATTAACTCACCAGGACATGCTAATTCACATTCATTTATTGGGTTGAGAATATTTTTTTGTACAATAATGGCCATGGAGACATAACTACAATGGAAGATTGGAGAAAGAAATGAGGGATTTGGGAAAGGCTTCTTGAAAGAGGTGAGTCTTGACCTAGGTTCAAAGAGGTAGGTAAAACTTAAGGAGGTAAGAGGGAAAGTCAGGAGAATATTAGATTGAAAATCACAGGAACCAGAATTGTGGAAACTATATGGGACTTTAAAAAAAAAATTATTTATTTATGCATACATAAATGGGGTACAGGTCAGAGGTTCAGGGATGAGAGTATTCACCAGAGACAGAGTGGGGAGCAGAACAGGCCAACTGTTGAAGTACACTGCTGAGGGGAGCAGTGGGTGGGTCTGGAGAGGTCTGCCATGCCATATGGGTCACCTCCGGGGCAGGTAGGGGTTGAACTCATGCTGAAGTGGCTTTAGCTTCTTAGTGCTGCACTTTAACCCACTGCACCACCAGGGAGGGCCCTGTATGATTCCACTTTTATGAGGTACCCAAAGTAGTCAAATTTATAGAGACTGAGGAGTGGGGACTGGAGAGTTACTGTTTCAGTTTTGCAATGAAAAAGTTCTGTGGATGTTTTGTGGGAAGGACAGCACAATGATGAGTATACAGGTGATACCATAGAATTGCAGGCTTGGAAATGGCTAAGGTGATAACATATGTGTTATGTGTGTCTGAACACAATTTAAAAAACAATGTTGTTTTGCTGTTGAACACAAATGGCAGAATGAAAATATTTGTTTCAAGAAGACAAGACAGTCAACAATTGTACTGTGTTGTAGCAGGCAGTGAAAAAATGTTGCCTTCACAAAAGTAGTTATAAACTACTGTCCTTGGAGGGTTTAGTCTCTAGAAGCATTTGTGTAATTTTTTTATTGCAGTAAATTGTTTAAACCATAGAATGACATTATTTAATGGATGCCTCAAGAAAGTAATTGTGGATATGATGAATAGTGGGTGGGGAAGAAGATAAATTTTATTCCAGCATGTGTAGTTTTGCTTGATCCAAAAAAATAGACGTAAAAGGCAAATTGGTTATCTTTCTTTTCCTAAGAGCATTCAGTGAATGAAAACCCCAACATAAACTCTTCTGCTTTCATTTCAGTTGAAGAAACTTCCAGTTGGACAACAACTCTCTCTGTGGTTCTGGGAGTGTTGGTGGCTTTGGTTGGTCTTTCTGTATTGCTGGTTTTCCTGCAGTATAGAAGACTCCGAAAAGGATATGCACCGCTCGTGGAAACACGGCTTCACAAGAGATACACAGAAGAAGCGTAGAAGGCTTATGTCGTAGCCTTGAGGAGAGGCCGGCTAAATTCTGGTGCTAACCCCGACAATGGACAAATGAATTCCCCGTGTTCTTCCCTTAATGGAAGGACTTTGGCATAGCTCCTCTTACTGTGGTGATAATTCTAGATGCAGAAGATGCTTGCCTGTAGTTCCAATTAACTGCAGCTGAAATGCTTAGGGCTATCTCTACCATCAGACAAAGGGAGAACTTATCATATGTGGTATCTGTTAATAATTTCCATATTCATCAAGTCCTCTCATGTTCTGAATGCACCACACACACAAAACAAAGAGTATATTCAGTTTAATTTTCAGGTCAACGTAGTTGACACCTTATCAAGATGTTGGCTCCTTCCGAGGCCCTCTGGTCTTAGTTTGTAATGGGTGAGCTGGGGCTGGGAGGCTTTGCATGAGTCCCCAGGGTCCCTTTTACAACATCTATACTCTTAGATACTTTCTTGATCATCTTTTCCATTTTCTTTAGCATTTCCTCCCAAGCCTTTAAAATCATTGAGTATGAAAATAAAACTTATTTCCCGTATAAGATGGAGAATGAATGATCGACTCAGTTCTTTTTGGTAAATTAGATTTTACAGAATCCATCAAGAGTCTACCTAAGAGTAGATCTACCACAAGATCCAATGGCTGGATTAACGAAGATCCTATAGTTATAAATAAATATATAAAAGCTTAAATCAGAGCTTTACAGGTAATTAATGTACTGCTTTGAACCTATGGCAAGTAGAGAATTCCTCTTTCTAGGAAAAACTGACTGGAGTCCTTGCTTCTAGGTCTCCTTTCAATAATGTTGAATCAATTCCTTTAGAAGATGGCCTCAGGTGAAGCTTCTAGAAGTCAAGTTGTACACTTCTTACAACTCCAATGTCATTGTTTCAAATGACTTTGAAGTCCTCAGAAAATGGCCATGGTTAACTGATACAACTAATTGGCGTAAGTGCATTTGGCTTATTTTTAAGAGTTGGCTTTAGATGTAGTAAAGATGTACTGACAGTTATTTATGAATGCTCATCAATTGTCTCATCACTAAAAAGGAAACTCTACATACAAAACATAGCAATTCAGAATTAAGTGCTTAGGTTCTACTAAGTAATCATCAGATAATGAAAATGAGAATGAAGTCCCTTCCCTAAGATGTCTAGGCTTAGCAAGATGACATCTATTTCTGAGTAGTTGGTGATTATTGAGATCTCAACAGAGTTCATGTTCTCATATCCGGAAACTGTGTATTACAAATGAGGCCACAGTTCTAGAAGGTGATTCATTTGTTCATTTCAGTTCTTGTCCACTGGGATGGGACGGATGTGTATAATGAGTTGGTATTAAGAGGACCCTAGACTTATCATCTACATTTGGGGGTCCCAGAGAATGCAAGACTCACTAAGACCTAGCAGTATCTCCTCAATAAGATCACAAAAGCTAGATAGAGGGACAGAAATCCATTTGAAGGGCATTTGAGTCTGAGTTGCATAAAGCTACAGGTGTATGGAAGGGATGAATCAAGAAAGCCCCAAGTTTGTCATGGGGTCAAGCCCTACTGGCACATTTCAGCCACTGTCACTTGTGTAGATTTCAATTCCTGTCTTTAACAGGATTCATGGGAAGTTCAGCACTTCTTTAATTCACATGCTCCACTTTGGAAGATTTATGACTAGAACTCAGGGTTGGTAGAGAACATATTTTTACATCTTGTTTTTAAGCCCAAAGAGAAATATATTAAAATGAAGACATAATTATGCATGGTAGATATGTTCTTGAGAAGTTGTATATAAATCAATTATGTGATAAAAGCACCTGGGGAAATCACTTTCTATAGATGAACTATTATGAATAATTCTGTAAAGCAAATAACCACCTCTAGCTCACCCATCTCAGAATTTTTATACTTCATATCTTCATAAGAATTGGTGAAAGCAAGAGCTATCTGAGGTAGAATAAAGAATAATCACTTATAGTTAGCTACTTTTACCTAGGGTGTGTGCACCTTTTTATAAATATTATGCTTTATAATGTCTTCCTAAAAGAAATAATTTTCTAATTTTGTAGTTCATATAAAAGAAATAAAATGTTCTAACATTACAATAAATCAATTAGGAATGCCTTGTAGCAAATCTAGAAGTAGAACTAATCTGTAGAATAAAAACATTGGTATTTACCTGTACTATTATGTAAATTAACACAGAAAACATCACTGAGCATTGGAAGGCTATACCTCTCAATAATGGCAGCAAAGAAATGAATCTTGAAGAAAGTGAATAGATCAATTTTTATGCTTTTATCCACAATATTAAAAAATTGAGTGTACATGAATCACGGTTTCAAAAGAAGTACTTTTATAGAGCTAACGTTCAGAAGAGAAAAGAAATCCTGCAACAGCTTTTCTTTGCAAATTAAATGCTCTTTTAATGTTTAGACTCACTTGTATCTTGCTTAGAATTTAACATTCCTAATTATTATAATGACAATGGGTAATTTTAACATCATTAACAAACGGAAAATTTATGAAAGAGGAAAAAGAAATGTTTTGTAGATGAATGTTCATCTTTGGGGACTGTGGTGAATATCAATTCCCATCTTGTTGATATTCACTATACAAATATTGAAATATGTGTGGTGTGTGTGTATATATATATGTGTATATATATATATATATATATCCACATATATATCAACATAACTACTTGATTTTTGCAAAGAAGTTCTTAAGTACACTGATGTGTCTACTTCCTTTTGAGTGGGGCTACTATCATACAGGTAAGAAAGTGAAACATCAGCCTTCTTCCAGAGGGTGTCTTTCACTCTCCCCAGGGTCTAAAAACTGATCTTAGGGGTGAGGGTTGTTAAGATGGCTACTTCAAGTCACTAAGTAGGGATGAGGGGTCTTGCAGCAGCCAACGTGGTGATCTCAGGAGAGCCTTCCAAGTTGGTGAACCTATTGGAAACCCCCAGAAGAAGGAAGTCAGGGCCAGGTCCACACCTGGACCAGAAGCTTTTAGAGTTCAAGTGTTCTACTTCTTGGTACAACTACCAAAGCACTTTTGAGTCCTCAGAAAATGACTGTGATTAATCAACACAGGCTAATTAGCTTAAAGAGTCAGTTCAACCTTGCTGTGGGACATAATTCTGCCTCCGTACACAAACCTAATGATTCTATTCTCACGGTGCCTAGTAAATCCTGACTACAAATATTTTGTGAATGAATCAATTGATCTCAAAGTAGAACTTTTAAAACTCATGACTTCTAACATCTACTTTACTACCAAGGACTGGATAAAACCTAAGATAATGGGGTCTTCTGTCTCTACCATGAAATGAATAATAACCTAGCCTATATCTTAGGTCATACTCCAGGTACTATCTCTCGATGCAGCCTAAAACTAGGGGACCCTTCTCAGCCAGTCTTTTCGAATGTACCTTCTTTTTAGGCCTTAATTCTAACACTCATAGGAGCTAGGGTTGAAAGCTAAGACCTTGATGTCCTGAAGGTCTAATCTCAGAGGAAGGAGTTAGTGGGAAAATTCAGCCAGAAAAGCCAGTACCTTTTCTACGCCAATAGATCAAGCAGCATTGTTTTCAAAGCCCCTACAACTGACAAGAAACTGACTTTGGCTATTGTGGCAGTTCAAACTGAAAATAACCCCTGTGGATTTAATTATGTTTTGACAGGTAGCTTAGTACATTTTTAAAAAAGAACACACCAGAAAACTGTGAGCAATAGGGTAAGCTTAAAGTTTTCTAAGACCAAAAAACAAAACAAAACTTCAAGGTTCCCATTTAAGGTCTGTGTCCTCTAGATATTTTCAGCAAGACTCCATCTACTTGGGGGAAACCATTTAACCCACTTGTGTTATTAGCCCCATAAACACAAGTCAGATTTCTTGGATGTCCCATGGTTGAATGTGGTCTGTTTTCTGGCCACTCCCTACTCTTTCAGCAGTTTACAAACACTAGCTAAAATGATCACAGTGTCTCCCAAGTACAATTGTTCTCTGTGTTGTAAATAATCCCATTGAAGAAGGCTGGGCTTACCCCTCTTTATTAAAATATTAGCACGACCGCTGCAGAGAACACAGTCTGATAACTCATTCACATTGTGTGTTATTGAGTGTTTCTGAATTTGTAATGAGTACAATCACCATCCTGATTAACAAGTGGGAGCGGAATTAGACTTACAATAAAGCAAAACCTGCCCTCTTGTGTTTAATTTGAATATTACACAATGCAGTAAAACTCTTACCAGCCATTTTCCTCTATCTTGGTTAATTGCCTACATCAGAGGAAAAAACAAGAACAAATGTTGGATGATTTGCCATAAATTCAGAACAGATAAAGCACAAATTTAGAAGGAAATGATTTCCTCTGCAGGCAAGGTAATCATATAATTAACACTCTTCAAATTTCCTTTTAAATATATTTTGAAATGTTAGATTCACCAGAGAGTCATAAAAATTTGGGGAACACTTTGAGCCGTTGGGCAAAACTCTTTTATGCCTGTACATACACACAAGGTATAATTTAGTTAAATATTATTTATATGACCCTACGGCAGCTAGAGATTAGGGAAATTTCTCAATTAAAAACTGTTACTGAGAACCTGGTAAATTTTGGAGATGTATTTAGGAAAAAACACTGCAATAGTAAATTGGAACCAGATATAAGTGTCTGAATTTGGCTATAGGTGTGAGCTGTGTCAGAAATGTCCTTCGCGGTGGAAAATTCATTTTTCAAGACTGGACTCAGCACACTGGTGCTCAAAGCAAATATTTATGTGGATATCCACTGTGGATTATCTATCTAGGAGACTTAAAGGATTCCAATGATAAAAAGAGATGTGATTTCTATACAGATTTACAGTTTTCTCTTCTAGTATGTATATTTAGGTAGAGATTAAAGGGGGGAAGGAGGGGCTGGATATTTATTCTGAGAGGTGTCGGTTAAGTGAGAAACAGGGTCTCTCCCCGTTAGTCTTC